AAATCTCAAGAGCTCTAACCGAGAGGTTCCAACTCCGCGGGCGGATAAATGGAACTGGGGATTTTTGGCGGGCTGCACTTGCGCAGTGCAGGGCAACTCAAACATTGTATCTTTTCCCTCATAGCTCTGGAAAATTCCGAGAGGAACCAGCGCAGGCGCTGTTTAACCCATCAGTGTGGATTCATAGAGAACCACGTTAAAGAATCTTTAATTACAAGCCTCTTCCTTAGCAATTCATGTTTTGTTTTTTGGTTATTTAAGCAACCTTTGTGGCGTTTTCTACTTAAGCAGCCAGCTACTGCTAGACAAATTTTAAGTCCTTGGCTCTCAAATTAGTTCAATATTATTTATAATTAAATTTATTTTATAATTAAGTAAATGTAATCTTTAATTAATTCAACTTTAATTAAGCCTAAGCAGCTTTGTGTGAGAAAATTTATTTCTTAATATTAAGAAATGTTATAACAGTATAGATATAAGACCCGTCACTGGGGGGCTGGACCCTCCTGGGTGCAGAGGACACCGGAAGTCATAGTTATAGTTGTTCCTTTAGGAACAGCCTTACCCTAAGAATACCATGTAACTACTTACTTAGTCTTTTAACAAATAACTACAATTTGTGATAGATATTATGGATTCTTTAACTAGAAATATAAAATCTTGATGTATTTTCCTAATCAAAGCACATAAGTATCATCACGTAAAAATAACCTTCAGAATAACATTGTAACCTCCACTCTAAAATATAAGAAAATCTAAGTACAACTGAAATACATCTATATGATTTCCTTACTTTCCTAGTTTCATTTTCAATCTCAGTTGTCTCCTTTTCATAGTGATTTTGTAAAGTGGTGTACATGGTGGTAGCAATAAATAATGCTAGGCCAAAAAAAATGAGTTTTCTGTAACAGTCTATATATTTTTAAAAAATAAACTGAAGCATGAAACTTAGAAACAATGAGTGGGAAACAAAATTTTCTTACCGAAATAGTAGTTATTCTAAAAGAATCTATGGTTGAATGCAGAGAGAGATGCCACAAAAGAGGTCCAACTTCTCCAGTGATAAATCCTTGGACATGGGAAGAGGAAGTGGAGCATACATTTTCAATAATCTTTGCTGCTATATGGTTTACAACACATTCTTCCTAAAAAGAGAAGCAGGAATTTTCCGTATTATGAAGCAACTACACTGAAAAATGATAGAATTCTTCAAAGGTACATGGAAATAGTATGAAAATCCTTTGATTATGATCTTACACAATTATTATTTTATTGTTAAACTTATTATTTTTATTTATTATTATTTCCCTACAAGGAAATCCCTCTACTTCATAAGCAATTGCTGCAGTGACCAGTTTCCTAAAATAGCTCGCATTTATCAGTAATTGAATATAAAAGTTAATTATCTACCAGAGAACCCATCCACCCCAGTTCCTCTTCACCGCATCCTGCTTTCTAACTGCTTTTCTCAACACTCAAATGCCTGAAAAGAAACTTATACCAAAGACAGGACATTTTCTTTAGATTCCTCTCTGCCCATATCATTCCCTCAATCCTTCCCTCCACCACAGTTCGGGCTCTGGGATCAGAAATATCACTGCTACAAGAGTCTGATGGACACCATCAGAGACCACACAATTAAATAAAATATATATGAAGCTATTGAGTGGGGGGAGAACCATCATCAACATTTTCTGTAGAATCCTCTTTCTGGTAGTTTTAACTAGCAGAACCTTCTGCATACTATTTATACTACTCGAAGCCTGCAATTCAGCAATGCATATCTGTGGTTTTCTACATGTTTCTGAACTTCAGTTCCCACAATTTCGTACTACTGTCTCTTTTCGCAAAGATTTATATGAGCTATACTTCAACAACATCCAGAGAGCAACCATCTTTTGCTATAGATATAGCAAAATACTTTGATATTTAAAAGGTAAATGAGATGAATTTTTGATAATAATTCAAGTCACTTACCAAGGCTTAAAGATTGCTTCAGAATTGCCACATATTAAAGATACTTTCTAGGCAAATATATAGAATATGCTGATCAGATATTTTAGTATGAATAGCAATATCATGAATAGGAAGCACAGCAAAACACAGGAATGATTTTGTCAACATACAGCCAAATATGTCCCTTAAAGTTTTCTTTAGCTTGCATGAGTCAGCCAGTAACGGCATGAAGCATGCCCTAGGCCAGATAACCATAGCACATTGGCTGGAAAATGGTGATGGATTGTCAGTGTTCTATAAACTCAATGAGACTGTCAAACTAATTCAATTTGCTGCCATCTGAGATGGGACCACTTAAGCCCCTTTGGGACCTATTATCAAACAGTGTATAAGGAGGAAGAATGTGCCATTTTCCACTTAATTAGCTCTCTGGTAAGGAAGCCTGAACTAAACTAATATTTGGTCTCTTACAGAGAAGGAGTGCTTTTATCATATCACAAACAAGCAAGCTATGCTAGTTGACAAAAATGTATCCATAAGACATGTTGCATGTTGTTTTTGTTGTTTAGTCATTTAGTCATGTCCAACTCTTTGTGACCCCATAGACCAGAGCATGCGAGGCCCTCCTGTCTTCCACTGCCTCCTGGAGTTGAGTCAAATTCATATTGGTAGCTTCGATGACATTATTCAACCATCTCATCCTCTATCGTCCCCTCCTCCTCTTGCCTTCACACTTTCCTAACATCAGGGAGTTTTCTCTTCTCAACAGATGGCCAAAGTATTGGAGCCTTCCAGTGAGCACTCAGGGTTCATTTCTTTCAAAATGAATAGGTTTGTTCTCCTTGCAATCCAGGGGACTCTCAAGAGCCTCCTCCAGCACCACAATTCAAAAGCATCAATTCTTCGGCGGTCAGCTTTCTTTATGGTCCAGCTCTCACTTCCATATACTGTATCACGATAGGAAAAACCATAGCTTTGACTATTCAGACTTTTGTTGGCAAGGTGATGTCTCTACTTTTTAAGATGCTGTCTAGGTTTGTCATTGCTTTCCTCCCCAGAAGCAGGTGTCTTTTAATTTCGTGGCTGCTGTCACCATCTGCAGTGATCATGGAGCCCAAGAAAGTAAAATTTGTCACTGCCTCCATATATTCCCCTTCTATTTGCCAGGAGGTGATGGGACCAGTGGCCATGATATTGGTTTTTCTGATGTTGAACTTCATTCAGACCGTTTTTTGCACTCTCCTCTTTCACCCTGATTATGAGGTTCTTTAATTCCTCCTCACTTTCTGCCATCAGAGTGGTATCATCTGCATATCAGAGGCTGTTGATATTTCTTCCAGCAAGCTTTAAAAAAATAGAACTTTTTCCCCAGTTTCCAATTACTTTATACTAACAAATTCCAGCAAAACATGGCAGCTACTAAACACTTGCAGGTGTCGAAAAAGAAAATGTGCATCTTTTCTGAAATTGATTAAACTTAAAATAGTTTCTCCCAGCATTCGGATTTTTCAACACCCTATTCTTCCCACTCTTAAACTAGCATTGGATTGACCCCTTCCTGATTAGCATGGCATTTATTTTCCAATAAACTTCAACATGGAATTTCCTTTTTTTAAATACTTGCTGTTCTTACATGCTGTCAAGTTGTCTCCAATTTATGGCTACCCTATGAATGAACTGTCTCCAAAATGCCCTGTTCTCAACAGCCCTGCTCAGCTCTTGTAAACTCAAACCTATGGCTTTCTTTAGGGAGTCAATCCATCTCATATTTGGTATTCCTCTTTTCCTGCTATTTTCAACCTTTTCCACCATTATTGTCTTTTCCAGAGAACCTTGCCTCTTCATGATATGCCAAAAGTAAGGCAGTCTCAGTTTCATTATTTTTGTCTTCAGAGATAGTTCAGGAGTAATTTGCTCTAGAATCCCCTGGTTCATGCTTCTCTAAGCCCAGGGTATCTGTAAAGCTCTCCTCCAGTGTCATACTTCAAAGTAATGATTTTTTTCCTGTCAGCTTCCTTTACTGTTCAGCTTTCACACCCATATATAGCACTTGGCAATACAATATTGTGTATGATCTTGGCCTTCATCTCCATTGACACATCCTTCTCTCTGATGATACTTTCTAATTCCTTCTTTGCTGCATTACCGTGTCTCAGCTTTCTTCTGATTTCTTGGCTGCAGCCTCCATTTGGATTGATGACTGAACAGCGTCATCTTTTAAGATTTTAAATAGTTCCACTGGAATGCCATCACCTCCATTGGCCTTGTTGTTAGCCATGCTTTCTAAGGCCCACTTGACTTCACTCTCCAGGACGTCTGGCTCAAGGTCAGCAACCACACTATCTGGGTTGTACGGGACATCCAGATCTTTCTCGTATAATTCCTCTCTGTATTCTTTCCACCTCTTCTTGATGTCTTCTGTTAAGTCCCTCCCATTTTTGTCCTTTATCATGTTCATCTTTGCACAAAATGTTCCTCTAATATCTCCAATTTTCCTGAACAGATCTCTGGTTTTTCCTTTTCTGTTGTTTTCCTCTATTTCTTTGCATTGTTCATTTAACAAGGCGCTCTTGTCTCTCCTTGTTATTCTTTGGAAGTCTGCATTCAATTTTCTTTAATTTTCCCGATCTCCCTTGCATTTTGTTTCCCTTCTCTTCTCTGCCATTTGTAAGGTCTCGTAGGACAGCCACTTTGCTTTCTTGCATTTTCTTTTCTTTGGGATGGTTTTTGTTGCTGCCTCCTCTACAATGTTACGAGCCTCTATCCAAAGTTCTTCAGGCATTCTGTCCACCAAATCTAGTTCCTTAAATCTGTTCTTCACTTCCACTGTGTATTCATAAGGGATTTGGTTTAGATTATACCTGAGTAGTCCAGTGGTAGTTATTTTCTTTAGTTTAAGCTTGAATTTAGCTCCAAGAAGCTGATAATCAGAGCCACAATCAGCTCCAGTTTTTGTTTTTGCTGACTGTATAGACCTTTTCCATCTTTGGCTGCAGAGAACATAATCAATCTGATTTCGGTATTGCCCATCTAGTGATGTCCATGTGTAAAGTCGCCTATTGTGTTCTTGGAAAAGAGTGTTTGTGATGACCAGCTTGTTCTCTTGACAAACCTCGACTAGCCTTTGCCCTGCTTCGTTTTGAACTCCAAGGCCAAACATCTTTCTTTGGTGTCAGTTCTAGAAGGTGTTGTAAGTGTTCCTAGAACTGGTCAATTTCAGCATCTTTAGCATCAGTGGTTGGTGCATAACCTTGGATTACTGTGATGTTGAAAGGTCTGCCTTGGGTTCATATTGAAATCATTCTATCATTTTTGCGATTGTATCCCAGTACAGCTTTTCCCACTCTTTTGCTGACTATGAGGGCTACTCCATTTCTTCTATGAGATTCTTGCCCACAATAGTAGATATGATAATCTTGTGATCTGAATTTGCCCATTCCCGTCCATTTTAGTTCACTGACATCCAGGATGTCAATGTTTATTCTTGCCGTCTCCTGTTTGACCACATCCAGCTTACCAAGGTTCATAGATCTTACATTCCAGGTTCTTATGCAGTATTTTTCTTTGCAGCATCAGACTTTCCTTTCACTTCCAGGCACATCCACAGCTGAGCGTCCTTTCAACTTTGGCCCAACTATTTCATTAGCTCTAGAGCTACTCGTACTTGTTGTGGCGATTTCCTGTGAAGCCCCTATCCCCCCAGGTCTTCACGAGGTTCTCGCCCTTCTTCTTTCTTTGCTGCCACCAGGTATTACTGCCTTAATACCATTTAGTCATGGAGACCTGTGTGCTTTTAAAACTCGTCATTTATTAGATCAGGGAAGTTAATATAGGGTTAATATTCAATAAGTAAATCACAGATTGCTAATCACTTGTATTTCAATCAATTCTACTTTAACTTTAAATCTCTATTAACTCTTTGTTCCATTCAGGGTTCTTACAGATCTCTAACTCACTCTTAGTTCACTTTTAAGTTTCGCACTGTCTCTCACCGAATCTCCCTTCATACTCCATACACTTGCCTTTATATCCAGCCCCTCTCCCCCCTTGGCTTCGCCTTCCATCCACTCATTGGCTCCTTCTTCACTGTTCTACTGTGACGGACAGGTGAGGGCAGGGCTGTTCGCTACACTTGTCCTTCACTCTTCCTCAGTAGCATGTTGGATGCCTTCTGATCTGAGGGACTCAT